GTATCTTTTAGCTTCTTTGCATTCCGCATGATTGAAACTTTATCCTGATGAAAATTGAACTTTGCGACAATTGGTCGCGCTTTGGTTTCACCCCGTTTCTTTTTTCCCAAGCGATGAGAACGGTCGATTTTTATTTTCATAGCAGCGTCCTCGAACCCAAGCTTTTCTTCCAACAGCTTGTGAATCGTTGCTGTGGTGTTTTCATCGCTTTCTTCAGGCATGTTGTAAAACAGCAGATTGTCGCGCATTGACCTCGCTTTAAGGTCAATGACGCTGTTCAATAATGTCACGTTGTCGGCTTCAAGTTTGTTGATGCGTTCGGTTGTTTCTCTCTGAACTTGCGCTTTTTTCTCATTTTCCTTCTTCAGATCGTCTATTTCGCTATGAGCGTATTCGATAGATTTTCTTAGGCCTGTTTTATACGTCGAATTTTGGTCGCGTCGAATGCAATTAAGACAATAGATAATGAGATGATTAAACCTCATTAAGCTTCATTATCTATTGTTTGAATTGCATTCGACGCGACCGAAATTCGACGTATGAAACAGGCCTTAGTTCTTTCAATTCCGTCTGTATATTTTCCATATTTTCTTGGATGATATCCAATTTGTCCATCTTCTTGCTCATACCAGATATCAACTCAAATATATCTTGTAGTTTGACTTCGCTTCCAAAATTTTTGTTCATCTCCTTCTCTGTACCCTTATCTTCCATTTTTGTGTTCTGATTAGACTTGCTGGGCGTTTTTTTCAAAGAATTATTTGTATTTTGCGCACTGCGCTTTGAACCTTGTGTTACCGACATGACACCCGACACCGATTAACACTGTATATTAACACTGTATGATACACTGTATGTTTACATGTGCACTATAACTTGATTACATCTATATTTGTTACTTTAAATTTTGGACTATCACACAAGTGCATGTTATCCAACATTAGTATTTTTGCACAAGTGAATATAACAAATCCTACAAGTTGATGTATTAAGCTGTTATATTCACCTACAGGTGAATACAGTATAATATTATACCTCAAATTCAAATTGTCCAATCAGGAAGCTTTAGTTTGTGCCACGTGAGCATGAAATTAATCGCGATATCACGCCTTACGTCATCAATTAGCGAGCCTGCGCTCCTTTTGACAATGTTCCACCTCATGTTCCCCGGGGAACATGGGGTGGAACATTATTCGCGTAGACCACGCGAGACAACACGCATGACAACAAGATGGCCGACAAAACATAAATAATATTAATGAGTGATGAATAATTCAATTTTAAACCTAAAACCTGGGGCTTTTTCAAACCTAAAACCCGGGGCTTTGTCATTAATATTCCAAACGATATGTGATTCGAAAGAAAAGCGACGATACTTGCGTTAATCCGAAAATAAAACATCGTATTCACGAAGGTATGTGTCAAGTTTTTAATTCTCAACTTGGAGGCTTTTAATTTTCGGTATAATATATCATTTATAGACCCTCCGCTCGGGGGATTCGGCGAAATATTACCCTCAGTGATGATATTTCCCTCGGGGCAAAGCCCCTCGGGAAATATCATCACTTTGGGTAATATTTCGCCGAATCCCCCTCGCTCCAGGTCTATAAATGATAATAGTAACAAAACCGAAATATGCAAAATGCCATTTTGTGGAAGTTACTGATAAGAAATAAGCAAAATTAAAATAAATTCAGTCCCAGAAAACACAAAAGACTTGTGTAAAAATACTAAAATAATCATTCGCCTCAGACTCGGTGATTATCGGGGAATATTCACCTCAAGTCAAGGTGAATATTCCCCGATAATCACTGAGCCTGAGGCGAATAATTGTTTTAGTATTAATATTACGGATGTATCTTTACTTACTATAAATGCATTTTAATGTTAATCAACTTAATTGTAACGACCCTTAATTACTGTTGCACCAATAATTAGTTAATTTAAACGTTAAGTACAATAATAAGTCATAACATGAATAAAGTTAACTGTAGCCTCAAGCTTGAGGAGGTGGCACTCCTTCAACCACAATATGAGAAACGGAATTCCAGCCACTGCTGGCATCATCTGCATTACCATAACCAGGATAATTTACTACCCAGATTTCAACACGTACTTGGCCTTTTGGGATTTTGTTGCACTAGCCTTCAATATTACAATCATGGCGAATGATATTCTGTGTACTTCCTGCCTTAAGTAGAATGCTCCTTTAATTGGCATGGGTCCACTGCATTCTGTGACAAGCATTGGTGACAAGCATGAATACCGAAATTACCTCCATAGAAGATTCTGAGTGAGCCGTGAGGTGTTCTCAAACTTCTTGTTGAAAACACAAACAAAAGAGTCATTATCAGTTCTGAATTTAAGCATTTGATGTACAGCATTTTCTTTAAGAAGACTAACAAGCAGTCATACAGGTACAGCATGTAATGCCAAAAATGTTGCAATTAATACCAAAAATGTCCTAAATTACCACATTTTTGGCATGACCTTGGTTGGACTTTGGAATGTCGATATTTTGGTTTGTACATTTAAATATTTAGAATACGGGAATGAATTTCTTTTCCATTGTTCAAATGATAAATTATTATTCAAATTTCCGCTCTACCTTTTTTGGCTAAGAATCTCATTAAAATATCATTGAAGCATTATGCCGGGAAAAACTTGAAAAGAGGATTCTATTATCATAAATCAACCTGAATCAATCCATGATCCTTGTCATCGTGCCTTTTCCAGGCATACTGTTTCCAGATAAATTCAATAGAATATGGCTAATTTGAATTTGAAAGGCTATATACTTTTTTTGCTACATGTACACACTGTAGATCAAAGTGAAAAGTTTACATTTTGTGGTCGCTTAGTGTCTACACTGCGTAAGAAAGTTTTTTTCTGTAAAATTGGAACAGTGATAGCCATTCATGTAGGGGTCCAGATTTCCTGTATTGTAGTTTTTTTACTGGCTTCTCCAAAGACGTAGGCACGTATTCTTCGTTTAATTGCATGTGTAAATTTACATGTTCAAGGACTTACGACCCCTTGTTTCATGGCTATATACTGTACAGTGTATATATACTGTATCAGAACAATATAAACACTTGGAGAATTTCACAAAATTTCTGAAACGTTATATTTTAGTACATTAATTTATTTTTAAAACTACCACATGGCAATTCAGGAAAAAAATCTTTAGGAAAGAATATTATCTGAAAAGCTAAAATAGCTAGCTAGGACAGCGTTTTGTCTCTCTTATATATTGCAAAGATGCTTGATGAAATGTTCTGGCCCTCAGGTTTTTTTTCCAATTTTTTGTCAAACCAAATGTCTGCAAACTATTTGTCTTCGTCACAATTGTTAACATTGAACAATAGCTAACATTGTTCTAATTTATAGAATAGAACAATTATCTGCATGAGAAAATAAATCATGCAGTTAACTGCATTTCGTGCCTTGCAGTGTCATTCAGCGTTTCGTATTCAGCTTTTGCTTGCAACATCTTTACAATATAAATACCCTGCCCTTGCAATAACCAAATGTTAAATATACAACTTGTACAGGATTGCAACATATTATATATATGAATACAATTTGAGTGTTACAATATGAATATCATTGATATACATTGCATATTTTACATCTTTCTTCACCAATATATAAATAATGATGAACTAACAATGACCGTTGCTGTATGGAACTAAACTGTTGTATTTTAAATGATAAATTTCGTGCGTCCTGTGAAATGCTTCTTTCCCCAAAAGCAAAGCAGAATGATTATCAGTGTTTTGGTCCATAAATCCTATATAGCTAATTGCTGTTTACTTCAAGTTCCTGTTCCAAATTATTGTTCCATACAACTACGATATCTTTCTTTGTTTTGTCAATTCACGTTTATAAAAATTTGTGCATCATTACAATAAGTGATTTCTATCATAATCAATGATATAAATTTTGTATTAACAGCGCTACTGTCAATTTAAAATTATTAACATAATCACTCCTCACAGCTAAAACACTGAGTTTGTAACTTTATGCTGGGTCAATTCGCTTAAAGCTAAGAAGCATCTGAAAGAATGTGAGAAAAATTAAATTAAATTAAGCATGCAGCTTGAAGCATCCATGTTTTCTATACTTGCAGTGGTCAGAGTCGATATTGGAATACCTAGGGAGATACAGAGGACCGCACATTAGCACGGCAAATTTAAACCAATGCAGGTGCAGATGTATAATATTAGTGACCTACTTGTATCTACATATAACATAGTGTGCTTTTGGGGCCTAGCTAATCCCAAGCGAGTGTGTGTAGAGTTTTGTGGGGAGGGGGGTCTAATTGTCGAATACACAGAACTAGGAGGTCCGGCCATAGTGTAGGGTCTGCGACACGTTATTTCATGTATTTTAGACACGTTTTATGATCGTTACTCCTCAGTTTTGGAAAAATTACGAAATTGGTTGTGACGAAAAGCAAGGCCGGCGAGAGGGGGGGGGGCAGGGGGGGGATACCCGGGGCGCGGAGTGCTCAGAGGGGCCCGGAAATCTCGGTAAAATGGTCGTATCGTTTATCATCGCTTTATGTTTGTCCTAAATGAAATACGCCTACTTGCTCACTATTCAATCTTTAGCTTTTCCTTCTCCATCTGTAATCCTGGTCAAAAACCTTGGCTAACCACGAAGCATTAATCACATAATTATTCGTTTTCCAGACCTCCCCCATATAATTTCCCTCTGCCCCCCGCTTCAATGTTGACTTTTATCGCACTACTTTTGCCAACATTGTATGGCTGGGGGGGGGGGAGCGTGGGGTTTAACCCATTCACATTAGACGTTATGAACTTATGTGTTAACATACACACATTGTTGTGTAAATGACCATAATAGTGACTAAATTTGGGAAGAGTCCATGGTATTTTTGACCCTGCAGGATTTTAAATGAGAGGAATAAATTCTCCCTTTTAAAATTGGAATGGGAAAAACAGCCCCGCCTATGACTATTTTCACCCTAGGGGTCCAGTGTAGGCAGCGTTAAATTTTTTTGAAAATTTTAGTTGAAGGATGCAGATGTAAATACATGAAAATTTAAAAACAAACGACGTTTTACAAATAAAAAGTTACACCGTACCCCAGGTTGGCCATTTTGCAATTCTAATTCTTTCTTATCTTCAGGTGTTGGATTAAATGTGACCATGTTGAGTTGAGGAGCATGTCTGTTTACAATACCAAGGCCATCTGCGAGATCCGCTTCTGATTCAGGTGTTTGGGCAAGATAAGATGTTGAGCGAGGGTACATATTGATGCCACCATTGTGGAAATCTAATACTTGAGGCCTGTATAGAGACAATTATGCAGTCAGACAGTCCTAAATCTCTTATTGAAGGTAAGGGTATTACAGTAAATATATAATTAATTGTGTAAACGTTCTCTGGTTAAATTTTACTATGAAGATTTATTTATTACAAGCTTTCGACTGCCAGTCTGCAGTCTTCGACGGGTAGATTGATAATGTGCTAATGATATAAGATATGATACAAAGTGAATAGTGCTATATAACAGCGGTTTACAATTACATTTACTAACACAACAGACAATTACAGTTCCGCCTACGTAGAAAAGTGGTGACTAATAATATGTATATTGTGCAGAATTTAAGTAAATGTATAATTAATTTATAATCAATATTGTGACAAAAGATTGTGTATATAATCTCGAACCGTTGGTTCTGTTCTGTCTGGACAAACATTATCATACTGGATAGCTCTATCAGTTTTAAGTGTCCTCTCTAAACAGTTATACTCAGTTATAAATCTCATATAAAACTGGTTGGCGATATCAGTTGTGGCAGAGGTTTGATTCGTATATATTTTATAAAACTGGCAAAATGGTCAAACTATAGTCTTTTTAGTTCAGTTAAGCTTTGCATATTGATGTAAAGTTGCTAGCTAACAATGATTGAATAAAATCAAGCTCGCATAGCCATAGGATAAAGAGAGAGATATTTAATTACCTGTGTTTTTTCTTATGCTTTTTCTCACAGTAGATTATCACCACAATAAGGAAGACAATTAATATAACCATGATTGCAATAACTACGTAAATTATCCACGGTACCTCTTCTGAAAAAAAAATTTCAAAGAGTTGGGTATAGATACAGTACATGGATGTTTTTTTGAAACATTGCCACCCTCATTACAACGAAAAATTACGAAATGCTAATAATTGCAATCAACTTATTAAAGCCGATTGCTAATGATGTGCAGGCAATATAATATAATTAAAAATGTGTGATTGTATATTGATTACATACTGTACCTTTGTCTTCTGATTTGGCTGAGTTGACAACTGCAATACGAAAATATATGCCACTAATTATATGCTGTAAAAGGCAGAGGTAATCTTCTGTACTGTACTTTACTGTAGGTGCTTTGCTATAGTCGGTAATCAATGCTTACTGTACAACACTGTAACAATACATTGTATTGCGTTGCGTTGTATTATATTGCATTACATTGCATTGTATTGCATTTAATTTATAGCATTGTATGTTGTACTGTATATCACATGACAGAACGCATGAATTCATTTGTCTTAATCTGTCTTAATCTGTTGTGGGGTAGAGTACTCATCGGCTTCCATCACACTCTAAATTTCTTGATATAGTTTTTGGATATTAGGAAAACATAAAATATTTACTCATCAATCGTGATATTTACACACTAGTAAGTGTTATTTTCAATACACTCTTTGGGTGTAAATTCGGTGTTTCCCAAACACAAAAATGGTGTTAATTATGGTGTTGTATATCAACACTATGCACGATCATCATACAGTATCTCTATCAGGGCAGTTACAGCTATATTTAGTGATTTAAGTTTAATCTAAATAAAATATATTACCCTGGCATGAAAAGCCATCTCCAGCCGTGCCTTTAGGGCAAATACATGCATAGGATCCTAACGTGTTGTTACATGTAGCTGTTTTATAACATTTTGTTGCCAATCCTGAAGAACACTCATCAAAATCTATGCAAGAAAATGTCAAAGTATTGTAAGTTTTTGAAAATATATATATATATATATATATATATATATATATATATATATATATATATATATATATATATATATATATCTATAATATATATCTATCTATCTATATATCTATATCTATCTATCTATCTATCTATCTATCTATCTATCTATCTATCTATCTATCTATCTATCTATCTAGATAGATAGATATCTATATATATATATATATATATATATATATATATATATATATATATATATATATATATATATATATATATATATATATATATATATATATATATATATATATATATATATATATATAATATATATATCTGGACTGCTTGCTCGACCTCAGAAAGCGTGGTCGCAATATAGCTGAAATATGAGAGTGAACTGATGCTCATGGAGTCAACCGCTGACCAGTACTCAAGGGAGGAAAGTATTTTGCTATGCGCCAGCAGTGCTGTTTTATTATCATATTCGTCAGCTTCAATTTGCCACGCAACTAGCCTTCAGTCAAAAAGTATTACAGCAAGCAGTCCAGATATGTCAATGGCATTATATGTCAATGGTTTTTCCCCTAATTATAACCACTAGAATTATGTTATACACTTGACGTACCTTCAATTCTGATGCTACTGTTCTCAATCGTGAAATTGGTATCCTGGGCTTTTCTGAACACTTGTGCAATATCCTCCACAGTATCATCTGACAAAGCGAGTGTGTTTTCAAAAGAGAGCTTGTATAACACAATAATGCTTCCTTGCCTACGAGAGAATGAAGAATGAGATAGATTATCGGAGAATGAGTCTGAAATATACTATATCTGTACTTAACGGAATGAGGAATGTTTTCGTAGAATACCACATTTTCAGTTTTAACAATTTAATACACAATGTCATGTCATGTATTAATATTTTCCAAAGTCAATTTTTGCGTATTTTTCCAAATCACCCTTGGGAATGTGGAATTGTTAAGCTAGAAAATCATCACCTCAAGAGACTACATTAGGAGATAATTTAAGGATTTAAACCTCGCACGAACATTGATAAAAATGAGTACAAGTATACACAGCCTATATTTCCTATATTCTATAGACTCTCATGCATGTTCTGGATATGCAAAAGCTAACAGAACAAGTGGTAGTTGACTGATCAGTGTACTTCATTATAGTCCAATAGTGATTAGCAATGTCAAAACGATTAGTCTATGAGTACTTATTACGATAGGACAATTCTGAACTATTATGGCTTCTATTTTACTTATCACATTAATTTTTTTAATTAAGCATGATAAAATTCTTTGAATTACCATCACAATTATGCAGCAAAAACAGTTTTCTATATGCAACTATATGGTTTCATATGTACCAATACTTACTCAAATCCTAAAACTTGAGCTCCAACGTAAACAGACGAATAGTGAGATTGTTTGCATATAGAATCAATCTTTTGGAGAGAAACAAATATGGAATTAATAAGAGTAAACTTAATACAGGTAATAACTAATAAGTGGTAAAAGCATGTGACACGTCAATGATTGGCCCTCTTATGCTTACCACTGTACTATGATCTAAATGGATTGAATTAAAAACATGAGAAGTTCTTACCACTTCTTCAATTTGAATTGCTAATTTCATAAAAGCCTCGGAGGTCTTGTCCTTTAAATCAATGGTGAAGTTTGCGCCACTTGTAATTCTGAAATTTCCTTCCAGATTTTGTGCAGCTGAAAAAAGTTATTTAAAAATGTTTGAAATATCTAGAATGTTTCATTGTTATTGTCGGTCGCACCCCGAACTGTAACCATTGGACGATGAATCCACACCCTTCCCCCACCAGATTAAAGTACTTGAAGGCTGATGAGTGTTTAGTTGTCATTGTTACGTTTTTCATTGTGATAAGTTTGATCAACTGTTATATTTTTTAAGTGAAGAATTGCATAAAGCGTATTATTTGCACTGTTAAAGATCCGGCGTTACGAATCGAAAGCTTTCACGGATAAATAAATGGGGGTGTTTCCGAATAAGAATGTAAGCACTTATTCATAAACATACCTTTACAAATGGCTGGCTGACTATTTGATATGCACAGTTCGTCAGCTTTGCATTCTGGTTGACATGTCGCGGCTGAAATGTTAAAGTACACAAACAAGTTTAAGTTGAATCTGCAAGGCCAAGTGCCCCTATCGATAAACCAAATCATGTTTAGAGACAGGGTTACGATATAAAGTTTTTTACTTTACCTGCTTTTTGAAAGCTAGAAACACTCAAAATTTTCGTCTTATAAATTGAAAATTATCATGTTGAGATGAATTTTGAAGGACAAGACGAGGAATGAAGAGTCAGGGGAAGGTGTGGGGTGGTAGGAGAAGGAGGTAATGCTAAGATGGCATGGACACATGGACATGTAATAAGAAGAAATTAAGGAAAGCCAGTCAGAGGCATTTTGGACCTGAAGATGAAAGGGAACAGAGGACGAGGAAGACCGAAGACTGATAAACTGTGTAAAAGAAGATTTAAATATCAAAGAACTGACTGTAGACATGACAAGAAATACAAAAGGATGGAAGGCTAGAATCAGAGCAGCCAATTCCGGGTCACTTAGAGTTAGAGCTGGGTGAAGGAAGAAGAAGAAGAAGAAGAAATAGAAAATTATAATGTTGTATCAGTAAGTCATGGAATTCATTTTTTTCATAATTTTTACTTTACCTGGTTTTTGAATACTGGATGAGCTTGCTCCGGATATTGTTGTACTTGGTCTGACTAATGACGTCATACTGGTTGCAAGTGAAGTTGTTGACACTTTGGTTGGTTGTGACATGATTGGAAGTGTAGGTAGACGAACCGTTGACAAATATGGACTGGGGGTTTGGACATGAGGTACATTAATTGATGTTTTTGAATGTGCATTTGTATTTAAAGACGATTTAACAACACCTGTGATTGTGGTTGTGGGATGATTTAAATTTGTGGATGGTTTTTCTATAGGCGGTTCTTGAGTTGAAATTACTGTGTTGGTCGGTAATACGTTCATTGTGGACGATGCTTCAATCATGGATGAATCAGTTTTTCTTGGTGCTTTCTCTGAAGATGTCATTTTTTCTGGAATAGTAATCGTTGTAGTGGGTAACAAGGGCATTACAAGTGGTGTGCTGGTTTGTGCGTTGGTGAGCATTGTACTCTCTATCCTTGTTGTCTGTATAACAAGAGAAATCATATTTGGTGAGCTGTTATTTGCCCTTGATGAGAAGGCTCCTTTGGACGAAGCATCAATGCCAGCCATTGCAGGAGAAGATATCGTTGTGTTGACTATCACTTTGGTCGATGTGGTATAGGATATGGTGTTACGTGTTGTTACACTGAATGTCGTGTCACTTGTAGTAGTAGTAGTAAGGTTTGGTTTAGGTTTGAATGAGGTGACTTCAGTCTTCGTTGAAACTATAGTTTCTGTTAGTAGATTTTGAGTGCTTGGTGATGTTTTTTTGCGGTCAGTGTTGAATGAAGAATCAATAGAGTGAAATACTTGTGTTTCACTTAGTGTAATATTTAGCGATTGCTGTAGCAAACTCATTTTGGTTTCCGTTGATGGACGTTCGGACGTTGGTACAGAATGATCTTTGGTTTGTGGAACATATGTGCTTAGGTTATACGACGAGTATAGTCTTGGTGTAAAGGTGTTCAGTTCACTTTCTGTAAGGTGATTTGGTCTGTGGGAAAGTGTTACGTTTATTACGGTTGATGGCTTTATTCCTGTACTTGTGTACACGTCTGTGACGTTATTAACAATGTTCCGAGATACAGTAACCGTTTGTTCTGTCATGATACGTACTGTTCTTGTTGACGAAATGCTAGTTTGGTAATATCCTTGACCGATAACAGTTTTGGAAATGTTTAAATCTTTGTTGGATGAAATTATGTGAGAGTGTGATGTAGAGGTATATCGAATGAAATGCTCTTTTGATTTAGTGCGATTAATATTTGTTAGATTGCTTTCGTTGCTAGAGTAACTTGCAGACAAAGATGATGTTATAAGCAGTGGCGCTGTTGATTTTGCAAACGAAACGTTTTGTATTGTTTTGATGTAAGAGTTCCTGTCAAGACTTACTGAAGATGAAACTGGATGACTCATGGTTGTACTATTGATATGGTACGTTGAAACATGGTAGGTTGAATGAATTTGTTTAGTTGTGCTTTTTGAATAATTTAGAATGTTACTGTCGACCAACGTATGTTTAAGAGTGGTTGAATTGTATGAACTCGTAATGTTGTTAAAACGTAATGTTGGTAGGATTTTGCTTTGAGAATCCGAAATAGATTCTGGGCTCAGATATTTCTTTGTTGGTAATGATGGTGACTGATGTGTTGTACTAGCCGTACTAGTACGTTGTGGCGTTATGGTTGTGTTTATTTGATTAGATATTTGCATGAACGTATTTTGTGGCATGTGGAAAGTTGATGTCAGGTCCAATAAATTTGAAGACGATCGAAGAAGGGGATTCCTTGAAATTGGAACAGTTGCATGCTTATCTGAGTCATGTGATATGTTAAACACTGCAGTGGTTGCATGTGATTTCTGTCTAGTACTTGTTGGGTAGTTGTTATTAGTTGTATAAATGTATTGTGTAGGAGTGCGCATTTGTGATGGTGTTAGTGAGGTTAAAATGAAATGACTAACCACTTGATGATCAAACGAACCATTGCGCTTTAGTTGGACAATTATTCCAATGATATCTTGAAAGGATAGTGTTTTTAAGTGAGGACTTTGGTATGTTGTAACCGCTGTAATATTGTTTATTGACAACTTTGATATAAGTTCTTCAGCCTCAGTTGTGATATTCAGAACGCGGTAGTTGATTGTTGATGGTGCTTTGGTCAATTGACTGACCATCATAGAGATCGGTGTATCTAATGGAAATTGTTCTCCTGAAGAATATTTATTTTCTAAAAAGTTCACATTATTCCTATCCCATATTTCTCTCAGTACGGTGAAGGATTGACATTGTTGGATATCTCCGACAATCTGACCTACAGTAAGCTTTGCCATTGCCAGAAGATCGTAATCTAGTGAATCAATTGTGCATACATTGTTCGCTTCGTCCAGAGTAAACATAGAGGAAAATAGATAGTCTGCCAAGGTCCATCCATACAAGGTAGTCAACTGGCTTTCGGTGAAGTTAGTAAATCTGTAGATTACCTCAAAAACATTGTCCTTCATGTTGTCTATTGTGTCTGAACCATGAAGTGTAAGTATACTAGAAATTTTAGTAGCTTCCACCAATTTCTTATCTGCTGATAAAGGGTCAATAGTCGTTTCTAATAGATTAATCATTTCAGTTATGGTAAGCTGTTGAATTTCAGAATAAGGAATGTCAATCAGATTAGAAAGTGTTTCAACCTCTAAAGCCATAGCTTCCGCTGAATTGTCAAAAGATTCAGGAATGATTATGGTTAAGAAGGGCTGCCATTTATCAGTGCAAGAAAGTAGCATTTTTGAATCAAAACTTGAATCTCTTTCAATAATTTCATTTGCCGTGACGCGTAACTTCTTCAGAACACTATCGGTAAAGAGTGTTAATACGTCATTTAATATCATGTTATTTATCTCTGACAGATCTGTATTGCTGATTCTTGCTAAGTCTGTAGGAGTTATGTCGAATGTTTCATATAGCCGTGTTGTTACATTGTCCCTGTATTCAGGTAATGTTTCCAACAACATGGTTGTGTTATATATGTACATATCAACCTCGTTCAATGTAAACCCTTGTATTTCAGCCACTGTTTTGTCCACCATCTCAGCTAAATAACACGTTGTCAGGTGTAACATATTTGATCTGTTTGCGATGACATTTTCAACGATAATTCCTACCACTTTAATCCACTTGTTCTCATCGACTGCGTAGTAGTCCTCCATGGACTCCAGATTAAGTCGACTTAAGATTTCACTACTTTGAAACTGGAATCGTTCTTCTAAAACTTTCATGGCATTTTCTTGTATTTTGTAAATAACTGTTTTATCATTAATTGTTGGTAGTTCCCCTTGTGAAGCTTCCAGTATGCTCTTAACCTCTACAGTATACGACCATTTACTTTTTGTTGTATACAGTAGATTACTTAGAGTCAGCGTTTTTGATACATGCGAAGAAGCAACAGTTAAGAAAACAACATTGATGGTTTTTTTCATGGTATCCCGAACACGCTGTTGAGCATTAATAGCCGCATCAGTTACTGTGACCTTGGAATAGAAATTTTTGTCCATGTCGTAAAATAGTTTTGCTAGTGTTTTGTCTATTTTAACTGAGTCCTGTATCAGGGCATTGATGGTCACTGGAATGTCATACGTATCCTGACATATAGCTTGCCGTGGAAGAAACAGCAACAGAAGGCTACAGGAGATAACTCCACCAAAATTCATCTTAATTTTAGCTGTTGAGAGAAGAAATTGGTATGGGACTTTTTCTGCAAGTATAGATCTGTATTTTCATACACTTACAGTGTGGTATTCTAATTGATGACGAATTCAAGCGTGTGGAGGGTTTGTGGCCTTGACTTATCCAGTGCCACCGAGGGTGCATTTTACGGTATTTTTACCCCGCGGGTCCCCTGCTTGGAAGGTCCCTCAAAGCAACGAAGTCGCTTAAATTTCCTTGATTGCTTAATTGAGAATATAAATCCTAGCTGCGTCAGTGCTGGACAATAGTAAGATTATGCAATGAAGCATATATATGCTGTAAAACACCAGCATGTAAAACACCTCTTTTTAAAGATTCTTACCTTTGGTTGATGGTTTGTTTAAAGGAGTGATATATATATATATATATATATATATATATATATATATATATATATATATATATATATATATATATATATATATATATATATATATATATATGCTGAAGATTATTTTTAAAAAAATAGTTGATGAGTTGACGTAAGGTAGAAGAGCGCTCAATACCATAATAAGTAGAGCGGAATTAATTCAGTCAAGGTTTGAATGTTTGCGTCGCTGCTCTGAGTTTCACGTTTCACGCTTTACGCGATCATCGGTCAGTTGCCTGAAGCGTGAAACTCAGAGTAGCGACGCAAACATTCAAACCTTGACTGAATTATATATATATATATATATATATATATATATATATATATATATATATATATATATATATATATATATATATATATATATATATACAGCTAATTCAATACTATAAAACCTTAAACCTTAAACCCTAAGCGCGCAAAGCATGATGGGAGCACTGATTTCAAACTTAGTAGTTGATTATTGCAGCTGTTTGTCAGTGAAATGTTTTTGCAGGGAGATTTTTATCATGTCTCCAAGAAATGGGCTCCATATATGCTTTCTAAACTGCTTAAATTGTGCTCCCATTATGCTTTGCGCGCTTAGAGTTTAAGGTTTAAGGTTTAGAGTTTAAGGTTTCAAAGGACAACCTTTATTGAATTAGCTGTATATATATATATATATATATATATATATATATATATATATATATATATATATATATATATATATATATATATATATATATATATATATATATATATATATATATATATATATATATATATATATGCCGCATTCCTCTTGGATGAAACAGGCTGTAGTGGCAAAAACTACACTTATATCTGACAACACCAACACAGAAAAATTACACTTATATCTGCTCTATCTATACCGAGCACTCTTTCAGCATTTCGTGAACCAAAGCATGCACACTCGTATATATATATGTATATATTTATCGCGTACTTGCTTGTACCTTTATAATAAATAGGTCATCATAATCGGGACGAGGCGACAGCAGTTTTATTGCTTTCAGAACGATATCATAAATGTCCCTTGTTCGCTGCGCTCACTCGTGACATTTATGATACCGTCCCTACAAGCGATAAAACTGATATAGCCTCGCCCCTCATACGATAACCTGCACAGACATGATTGTGGATGTGGGCACTACAAGGCAATATATACATGTCTTTGCTTCATGCTTTATCGCCGCTTTTAAACTGTGAAATACTGCAGTGAGCGTACACGCGTATAAGGCAAAAGATAACTTGTAGTATTTTTATATAATATTATAAGGTCATATATAAGTCGTCTTATTTTAAATGGAAAATGTTGTTTAATTTCATATTCCTAATACAACATGACCTGAGTTTATATTTAACTTAATAACGTTAATATTTTTAGGTTAGCTTTATGGACAAGGAAACCGATACTTGGTAATTCTTCAATAAATATATTTACAGACGATATTAAACAGTTGATTAGAACACCGCAATATATCTTACCTGTTTAAATTAAATGAGGTCCATGCACTGTATACTTTTATCTTGAAAAGGTTTTTCCTTCATAGCATCTATACATGTATATCATGTATTTCTTTTTACATAATCGTTTTAAAAACCTTGCTGTAGTAACATTTCCTTATAGTTTAGTATAGCAAAGCCAAAGGAATGCTTCCTCTCTCTTCTAGATGAAGCTGTGAAATCTGTACCTGTCTACCGCTAATTTGCGTCATGACTATTTTTAGCATGCTCTGGTAATCTTTTCATGTCGTCAAAAACAGCGGGAAACTATGCTATAGGCGAATTAATTTTTCATATTTTAGAAAGAACCGAATAGCTATATAGGTTAAGATATATATATATAGCCCTGTTTAGATACTTCATCTTATATTTAAGTTATACAACAGCTACAGGGAATATATATTAACAATAATATAACCTCATGTTTAATCTAACATAGCATCTTAAATTTTATTTTCCTTTTTAGTAAAAATATACGTGCCGTAGATAATGGGGAATAATAAGCTTCTGTTAAATTTTAATGAGTAAAATATAAAGAATGACAAGTAAAACTTAATATAAGCAAGAATACTGAGTCAAGGGGATGGCGATTTAATATATTGTGTGCAACATAGCCATATATAGGAAATAATTATGTCCTCTAAAACACTTTAGTCGATATATACGTACATTATAAATTATACGATAGTTAAAAATATAAGGATATTGTTTTTGTAACTATTGTGGGTTAGCAGGTGACTCCATTGTAAAAGCCGTCTACCCACATATGATGTCTACTTATATGTATAGATTTGAATAATGTTGACTGATCTTTGCACAAAAATTATATATTAATTTTGCAGACGGATTATTTTAGATGTGTATTGCATCATGTTATAGGCACGTTCGAGCTTGCGTCACTAAGAAAAAAGAAAGCATCCTACTTTTAAAGCCACGCAAAATATTTTCTCTGTGGGCGTAAGTTTTGGTAAACCGCATGCAATACGCCAACGATGCGTGCACTGTAACTGCATCTTATGCATGTATATATTTAAGGAATAGCATATATATATATATATATATATATATATATATATATATATATATATATATATATATATATATATATATATATATATATATATATATATATATATATATATATATATATATATATATATATATTAATACCGGGTGGCCCAAAAAAAAGTACTCATCTTTGATTCAGTATAACTTAAAAAGTAACAGAGTGCTGACACTTAAACAATAGGCATTGTATTCAGTAATGTATAACTTAAATTTTCGTATATACCATTTGCATTTTAATACAGTATTGACTGAGATAACTGCGTTTAAAGTTGAGTTAACGTTTCGGGAAATGTCGAAAATGAGCAAAAAACGGCCTATTAAATGTTAATACCGCAATAACCTGTGCGTAGGTACACTGCAGTCGAAAAGTACACGTTTGTTTTCCAGATAAAAATGCTATTCATTAGGAAATGCATGCCCCGCAGCAAGAATGCACTTTCTTGCCCGTGTGAGCATGCAGTCGAATGAATTTCGGATCATCTGGGCATCCAGGTTGCGGCATGCTGTTACAATTGCCTCACGAAGCTCTCTCAAATTATGTGGTTGTTCATCATGTGGCACATTCCAAATTTGATGCTTCAAGTAGCCCCAAAGAAAAAAATCGCACACCGTCAGGTCAGGAGAACGAGGGGGCCAAGGCCAATCACCCCGTTTACTCATCAGTCGGCCAGGAAATTGCCCCCAAAGATATTGCATAGTTGCGTTGACAAAATTACTTTAATAGGCCGTTTTTTGCTCATTTTCGACATTTCCCGAAACGTTAACTCAACTTTAAACGCAGTTATCTCAGTCAATACTGTATTAAAATGCAAATGGTATATACGAAAATTTAAGTTATACATTACTGAATACAATGCCTATTGTTTAAGTGTCAGAACTCTATTACTTTTTAAGTTATACTGAATCAAAGATGAGTACTTTTTTTTGGGCCACCCGATATATATATATATATATATATATATATATATATATATATATATATATATATATATATATATATATATATATATATATATATATATATATATATTAGTTCGAACTAATGACGAGTACGAACTAATATCGGCATGTAGGCACAGGAAAAAATTCCTGCTCTGTAGCCAGTAGTTAGATTACAAGCATATATTTACGCTTTCCTAATGACGTCAAACATTTGTATATACAGCTCAAGTTACCTATAGGTTATAACATCATGTAAATACGCGATATCACCATTCACCTGATGAGTGTGGCAAGCCTAGTTTGCCATACGAAACAAATTTGTCGTGAATAAATGTTTTAAACGAAGTAACTCAAGTTTGTCTTTCATTTGCTCTACCTTCGTATCGAGCACTCTATTCGTATGATTCGACACTCAATATACTTATTGACATTCGCCTATATATATATATATATATATATATATATATATATATATATATATATATATATATATATATATATATATATATATATATATATATATATATATATATATATATATATATATATATATATATATATATATATATTTGTATTTTATCTGTATAGTTTTCACAATTTTACACGATTTAGTATCATACGTCTGTTCTTTTTTGTACTATTTTAGCTTTTTACACGTAGGTTATACGTCGTAGCAATATAACATATCTCTCTTTTCCATCGAATTACTGCACAATGTCGAAAAGTTTGAACTATTCCCGTTGGCTTTGAAATCGAAATTGAATGCAGCATGATTCTCAAATTAATAACTGAAAATATTTCAAAGTGAAAGTCTTAAATTCTTTGTGTTGTACATATATGTATGTACAGAAATCAAATTGACATATAGAATTAATTCTATATATGTCAAGTTGTATATTTACCAAAGTCAAACAGTTTTGTGGCTTGTACTTTAACTATAAGTCCATAAGGCATAATATGTTTACAGAAAAATAAAATTATTTGTACCTTTTAATATCGCCCAAGATCAATCTGCATAATCTTAAACAAATGGAATAGGTTTGCAAGATCCATTTCCGAAACCACACTCACAGGAAGAACTGCATGTCAATATCGATATAGAATGTTGACGAGTATACTTGATAAAGCAAAATCTCTTTCAATTCAAACCTTACGAACGTGTTTTATTATTTCGATTTCTTTATCGACGCTCAAATTCTCTATTGCCTTGACGAT